ATGCTATACAAATTCCATAGCCCACCAGTGCCATAACAACTGTTTTTCTGCATATCAAGTAGATTAAAAGCTGGTGTTGAGGGTAACAAGATGGGCAATTGCCCAGGCCCCATACCACAGGGGGCCCTGTGAAGTTAAGTTGCTTGGGCTTTGCCTTTAGCCCTGGGTGGCAGGGTTCAGGCTTCAGCTTTTTGCCCTGGGCCCTGAGTCTAATGCTGGCCTTGCTCTCTGGTTTATTTTGGTGGACCCCCTGAAATATGCTCGTGGCCCCTTAGGGGTCCCCAGACCACTGGTTGAGAACCACTTTTCTACACAACAGCTTGCAAGGTGTCCATGAAAGGCAATCTTATGGCTCTCTCTTCAGTGCCCGTTCTGGGAGAATCCTCCCCTGTCTCGAACTGGAGCCTTTAGGGCCTTTTGTGCTACATCAGCTCTTTTACTTAGCTTAAAAGAGCCAGAGCAGGGGATGAGGATCTCAGTGTTCATGTCTTTCAGACAAGTTATTCATTCAATAGGACCAAAGTCAAGCATGCAAAAATCATAAATCAGCTCTCCCCCCCAAATTACAGGACTTTTAATAATACATTTTGGGTTATTTTACTTGCCTTCCGGTTTCTGAGTTTTTGGAATACATTCAAGTTACATTTTCAAACTTTTCTCTGCAACCATGAGGGCTAGAAACTTATTTTATTCATGTGACTCCAGGAACTGTGCTGAAAAGAAAAGACGGTTATTCACCTTTGTAACTGTTTTTCTTTGAGATGTGTTGCTCATATCCATTCCAATTAGGTGTGCGTGCGCTGCGTGCACGGCCGTCGGACGGTCGTTGGAACTGTGGAGCTTTGCTTTGCTACTCTCCACTCTCCCTAGCATTTTTCCTACATAGTTTGTTAATAGTTGATAATTATAGCATAGTTTTAGAGTTAATAGTTATAGTTGTAGTTCTACTATAGTTGTTTGTATTAGTGGGGTTGGAAGGGGTTTCCCTCCTCCCCGTCCTTTGCTTGGGCTCATGCCAAGACTGTGAGAACCATACATTGTTGTGGCTGTTGAGACAGCAATAAGTGCTCCTCAAGCTTCAGCTTATTCTTCCTTCCCATGTAAATGAACACTGTCAAGCCCAATAGCTTGTGTATTTGTTTTACATAGGTTTGCAGTCTTGCCCAGTCTCTTGGTGGCATGATGCTGCCTTGTTTCATGTGTGGGTTGTACTTGTGATAAGGAGTCCAGATACCTTTGGACATGTGTTGTGGAGAAAGTAAAATGAAGGTATATATTTTTCCCTCAAGCTACACAGCTGTTTGGGGGAGTAAGGCTGGTGGGTATGTTCACAGGATTTTTTTACCTTAAGACAAACCTATTGTGGCTCCAGGTATGGAAGAACAAGGTCTGCATGCATCATACTCCCCCCTCCACTGTGAGCAAATGGGTCAGAATGGGTACACCACTGAACTGGCTGGGGGATAGTGTGTGTCCTGAAAAGGGCTATACTAAAGTACTCCCTGCCCTGAAGTAAGAGGGGAGCAGGGAAGAAGTTTTGCTGGGTCACATGCCCTGGTTTGCTCCCTATACCACTTCCAAGGGTTATCCTCAGATACAAAGAAGCATGAGGGGAATCAAAGAATTCAGGAAGTCCTAGGTTGAGAGATCAGTGACCACAGAAGTGTGTTGATTATAGGTGGAGGTATGCAGATTTCCTTGATTTGGTTACCCCATACAACTGATCAATTTGCCTGCATTTCCATCATGTTTCCAGTACATCTGGTGCAGAGAGAATAATACAAACCCTGCCTATGCTGTGTGGAGTCTTTTTTATATCCTAGCAAGTAAGTCATTTTTGAAAGCATGGTGGGGTTAGGACAAGGATACTCATTTGTGGTCTATGTGTTTTTAGGGGTACCATCAGTTCTACTCACTGTGGTTTAGGACAGCCTTTTTCCAGCTTGCGAATGAGAATTCTGCTGCTAAAGGGTGGCTTAAATGTTATTCCCACAAAGTTACCTGTCGGGACTGTGGCCTCACTGATCTGCAGGAATCATTTCTGCTGCACTTCCAAGTGGGGTGGTGGTGCAGCAACCGAGGACATAGTACAGTAGTTTTAAACCTCTGGTCCGTGAACCTCTGGGGATCCACAGACTATGCCTAAGGGATTTTGCAAAAGGTGATTATGAAAAGTTTCAGATCCTAGAAAAGGCATTTTGTTTTTCTGATCAATCAAAACTATGTGAATACCCCCACCTACAGGTCAAAACCTGGGTCAAAACTGTCATTACCATAGTAGCCCATAGTTTAGAACCTTTTCTCATGCTGTGTCAAATGCCAGGCTGAGCAGGGGTGCAACATTTATAGTCCTTGTTTGTGGCCTCACTCCCCTCAATTACCTTAGCTCAGACCTGGACCTGCTTTCTGCTGTCATATTCCCTCTCTGGCTTCTCCTCCACTGCAGAGAGCAGTGAGGGTCTGACAAGAGGAAAGCCAGATGTCAGGGGGTTTGAAATGCTGGATTCACCACTCAAGACACAGGCTGCAGTGTTCTAACTGCCCCCAGTGGACCCTCCTAGCACCCTCCAGATACTAAAGAGTGCATTAACATAGCACAGCAGGGTCCAGAAGGGGGGGGGGGAAGAGAGGGGGAGGGTTAGAGCACGACATGCAGCCTGGGGTTTGGGTGGTGAATCCAGCAGCACCCAAACCCACTCATTGCTGCAGCTTGCCTCTTCAGGCCCTCACTACACAGTCTAAATCTATGTCACCCCCTGCAGCTGCAGTGCTAATTACTATATTCACTAGACCGTAGTGAGACATATATAAATGTATGTACATAAAAATACACATAGTAGGTCAGACCAATGATCCATCCAGCCCTGTATCCTGTCTTCTGAGAGTGACCTATGCCAGGTGCTTCAGAGGTAAAGAAAAGAACATGCGATTATTGAGTGATCCATTCCATCATCCACTCCCAGCTTCTGGCAATCAGCAGTTAGGGACACCAAGATCACCTATCCTCCACAAGCTTGTCTAGTTCTTTTTTGAACCCCCTTATAGTTTTGGCCTTCACAACACCCCTGGCAATTAGTTCTACAGGCTGACTGTGCATGGTATGAAGTACTTCTCTTTGTTTTATGCCTGCTGTCCAAGTTCATTAGGTGACCCCTGGTTTTTGTGTTATGTGAAGGAGTCAATAACATTTCCTCATTCACTGTCTCCCCACCAGTCATGATTTTATAGACCTTGCAAAGTTAGAAGATTTAAGCCTGAATTAGTAATTATGTTTAAAAAAAAAGAAAATCAGGATTGTGGAAAATTGAGTGTTGATATTTCTGAATGTAGTGAATTAAACTATAGGGAGAAAGTTGAAGAGTTAACAGCAGGGGTTCTCAAACTGGGGGTCAGGACCCCTCAGGGGGGGTCACAAGGTTATTACATGGGGGGAGAATCGCAAACTGTCAGCCCTCCACCCCAAACCCTGCTTTGCCTCCAGCATTTATAATGGTGTTAAATATATTTAAAAGGGTTTTTAATTTATACGGGGGGGGAGGGGGTTGCACTCAGAGGCTTGCTTTTAGCTGTGACAGTACCTTTTCCCAGACCTGAAGAGCTCTGTGTAGCTTCTCTCACCAACAGAAGTTTTCTCCAGTAAGATATTACCTCACCCACCTGTCTTTCTAATATCCTGGGACTAACATGGCTACACCTCTGCATGCAAAAAGAAAAGGCACTTTAGCTGGAGGACATTCTCCTGGGTACATTTTAGAAGCCCAATGCAAACAGAGGTATGAGAATTCACAAAAGACTTATAATAGAAAGTGTTAGGCAACTAAAACAATTGAGAACTGTTTTATAAATGGTAAAGTTGATTATCTTGTAACTCTAGTTTGCTTCCAGTGCTACATTCACTCAAATTCACTATAAACACTACTAAATTAGCATTTTTGTGAAGAAACAAAACAGCTTCAAATACTGAATCTGTACTTTAAGAGTTTAAGGTAATATTACTACTACATAAACTGTGCTAGTTACAACTGTGACTGCACCAAGAGAGCATACTATCCCATGTGTAGGCTGCTTTGAGGGACCACAACATATGTTCATTCTCTCAGCAATTAAGCCCTCACATCGATCAAAGCTCTCTGAACTTGTGCGGAAGAGATGGTCCTTCCTCACTTCCCACAGAGTTACAATTTTACCCCCAGTTGCTTGGCAGTGGACCAGCATTTAAATGGGGGTAATTATTCTCCCCTCCCCATCCCAAGTGTGGTCATTTGTCCTATTATCAATTGGCTAGCAGTGGTTCTCAAACTTTTGTACTGGTGACCCCTTTCACACAGCAAGCCTCTGAGTGTGACCCCCCCCCCCCATAAATTAAAATACCCCTTTTTATATATTTAACACCATTACAAATGCTGGAGGCAAAGTGGGGTTTGGGGGTAGAGGAGAACAGCTCGCAACCCCCCACATAACCTCACGACCCCCTGTTTGAGAAATCCAGGGGCAGATGGTCATGCCAAGACCTGGTAGAGGAGTGGGGCACATCACAGGCTGAATCCAGGGAAGAAATTTGGGGGGAGGGTTTCTAGCAAGTTAGGTTTAACATAAGACCTTAACAAGTTCTAACACATCCTACCTCATCTCTCCTAAAAAACATTCGCCACAAAACCTCCACAGCTTTCCAGTTTAAAGGGCGATTTCAGCACACATGAAAATACTAGATAGTTACAAGGGCAGTGGCAGTGCAAGTTTTCCTATGCAACCCTACCAGTGTTACACAACATTGACCTACTATATTCTCAAATCCCCATGCAGATTCAATTCATTTCCTGGTCAACCCCTCCAGTTCCAAGTGTTGCGAACACTGGACCAGGACTTAATTGAATTAAGACCACACATTTCATTCAAGTCAAATAGCATTAGAAGGATTGCTTCTGGCCACAAGCCTCCTTTGAATGGCTCTAAATTCAATTACTTCTACAGTACTATAGGAAGACAACAAAAGACTTTACTGACACTACTCAAAAAAGAGAACTTTTAATAAAAAGTCATGACAATTTACAGTTCATTCTCGTACAGAAAATGAGAAATGCATTATCGACAATACTTTGATATACATAGTTAACATTTATGGATGTTCTTTTCTAAAACTTGTTTGAATGCAAGCTGTAAAGTTTCAGTACACTATTATCCTTTAAGTCTTTATCTGACATTTTAATTATAGATTTAATTTCTGTTTTCAAATCTTGTGACATTATCCTCTATGGAAGGGTCGTTTTTCTTCTGATGGACAGACTTGCACCACTGAGTTCAGGAAAAAGTTATCTTAGAGGTACAGGAGTCAACCTGCAGCATCCACAGTAGAAAAAGAATCATTCAGATACATTAGAAAGTTAACATACCCCAGACTGTTTTTGTATCACTATGTTCAAGCATATTTTTAAAATACAAGTCTTGATAAATGAGATCAGATTGATATTTACAGGAATACTCCAGTGAAGTAACTAAATGTTATTTTATTCATTGTACAAAGTGTCTTCAACATATAGCCAAGAGACGGTAAGCCAAGGCATTGTGACATTCTGATACAGGGAAGGACTACTATCTTTCCCTCCACCCATTAAAATACTGGAAACCAGACTGTTTCAAAGTTGTAATATAAGATAACCAGTTTAATTAAAAACTTTCAGACTGATTTCCATAGTTTCTAGTGGCAAACCAAATTTCAGTCTCACTCTGCATCAAACTGGGCCCCTGCTGGGGAACAGGACAGTTCACACACACAGAATGGAAGTGACATTATATATATTACACACACAGACAGAGAAATACTTTCAAGTATGAAAACTCTTAATGGAGTTTCCCATTAAAGTTGCAATGCAGGAACAAATGCCTTGTAACTTTATCCTTGATAGCAAGGACAGCAAATTAAGATTGATCCTATTATAATCTGATTTTATCTAGCATATTTCATACTCTTGGTATCCTAAAGTACTTTACAAAGCAACCAATTAGAAACTGGTATGGCAGTGACTTTGTTCACAAGCATGGCTGCTACTGCTAGTTCAGCAACTGCACCAAGTAAATTGGTTCCAGTATCTGAAGTGGATCCCAGTTTGGAGAAAGGAAAGTGTTGTCCATGAAAAAAGGACAATCCTCACTCTTTAAAGCGCCTATGTAAATATTACCTGGAAATTCAGATATTCTGTTATAACATATGTCCAACTTTTCTTTAAAATAATTCGTTCATCTCCTTGTCTGATGAAACTAAAACATAAGCAATTGGAAGACAGTAAGCAGAAGTAAATTAGTTCAATATTTTACATATCCAGAAATTTCAGAAACTCGGATATCCAAGCTTTACACTTAAAATATTAAGAAAATCTCCAAAGCACATAAATCTACAGAAAAGACTGATGTTTTGTAGCTACACCTCTACCCCGATAGAACGCTGTCCTTGGGAGGCAAAAAAATCTGACCGCGTTATAGGTGAAACCGTGTTTATTCATAGATTCAAGGACTGGAAGGGACCTCGAGAGGTCATCGAGTCCAGTCCCCTGCCCGCATGGCAGGACCAAATACTGTCTAGACCATCCCTGATAGACATTTATCTAACCTACTCTTAAATATCTCCAGAGATGGAGATTCCACAACCTCCCTAGGCAATTTATTCCAGTTATATCGAACTTGCTTTGATCTGCCGGAGCGCGCAGCGCCCCCCGCCCCCAGGAGCGCTGCTTTACTGTGTTATATCCGAATTGCGTTATATCAGGGTAGAGGTGTATTTTCTGGAGTCATCGTAAGAACCACCAATATATCTATAGATCTTACAACTGAACTAAATACTTTCCAGGAACTGTATACCTAGATACCCTGTATGTTCTTAACACTTGAAGATGCTATAGGCAGGCTGCAGCAAATCAATCGATGATCTAATCTAGAAGTGATCCTTTGTTGATCATGTGCATTCAGAAGAGGTTCCTCTTAGCCAGGGTTGGGAAGATTAGAGCAGGCGGGCACAAGCAGTTTTCAACCTCCGGCTAAGAAAGGATGCTAGTCACCAGATGCAACAAGGGTATCTAGTACTCTAACTATGACTAGTATCGAGAACCTTCTGCCTCAGTACAAAGCTACCTTTTCAACCTTGGCTCAACCTAGGGTGGGGGAATCATTTAATTTGTAAAAATGCACTAAGTGAGATTTTCATGGTGTTTACAAACATGCCATCTAAAGATAACTATTAAGAATGATTCCCACCAATGTTTTCAAAGGTTGGATTTTTAGGTGCTCACAGGCAGATGTTGACAGGACTCAATTGGTGGGATTCTAGTACTAATCAAAATCCATATATGAACACTTAACAGCTAAAACTAAGTGAAATGTGTTCATTTGAATTTTTCATTTTAGTGCAATTTAAGCAGACAATACTGGCTGAGCTGTACTTGAACTATGACTGTTCACTGAAAAGCAGTCTTAAAGTAAAAATAAAAACTAGTAGATATTTTATCTGACTGAAAAGTTTTTATTTAAACAGGTACTAGACTCCAGTGTAAAAAAGGGCTACAATGGAAATATTCCCCACCGTGACAGCTTCAGGCCTAGAGAGATGAACACTGAAAAAACAGCAAATGTCCAAGAGAGTCAAGGACTTGTGTGCAAAATAGAGAGAACAAGTTATTTTATTGTTCTGTCCCCACATAAATAAAAGCGTTGTTTTGGGCTAAAATCCACTTTAAGTGATCCCTACTTGTTATAGGACATTCTAAGGAAAAAACTGCCTTTGCTAATTACTAATGCCGTTAGAGAGAGCCTAGACTTTTGCAAAGGAACAGATCATTGTTCTCGTTAATAGGAGGAATGCTTTCATCTGCAATACTCTACAGCCACTATGTTAAAGACTATTTTGAATTGTGGTCAAAAGGTTGTTTAGAAGCGCTCTTAACAGCGGGAAGACTATAGTACACTGTTCAATCACTGATCCACATATTATTGCAAGACAGTTGAGAAATGAATTATATAGAACTGCTTTCACACTCCCAAAAAATATCTTTAATTCTGAGCAGCAAATGCTGCGATTTGCTAATGTACTTCTTTCTCCTATCTAGGAAAAAGCTCAATACAAGTTAATGGGGGGGGTGGGGGGGGGGAGAGGAGAATCTAAAAGGGAGTGAGTTAAAGGGTCATGATCAGATGCTTGTTGTACAGGACAAGTCTTACCTAGTCAGAAACCTTTGAACTGAAGAGGATATGCAAGACATTCCTCATTTTGTCAAGCTGCAGCTTCTCATTCAACCTGCAATGTAAATAAATTACTCTTACCTTGTTTAAAAAACCACTACTATTCTAATTCATGAAAAATTTTTAAAGGCAAACCTTACCTATCTCATTGCCCTTCCTTTCAGGTCTAAATGCTAGACCTATTGATTTTGTGTCAACTCAAGTGGCTATCACTCAAGGAGGTTCCAAAAGGTGAAGAACTCTTGCTAGACTTTCTTCGATATTTCAGCAGATTTAACTAGCCTTTGGAAAGCTGCTCACTATCAGCACAGTATCTTATGCCTTCACTTCTCTGGAAGTTGAAGCTGCTGTTGCTGCTGCTGCCTTGTCATTCTTTAATTATGCTGACTTGTCCATACTCAATAGGCTGCTGAAGTCCTGTCTTATGAGTCCTTTGATCCATACTTTGCTAAGAAGTACATCCTAGGTTCTTAAAGCTGGTTAATCACTGTCTCACAGCTTACACTTTTCCATATTGCATACCACAACTAAGCTACCCCACCCATTTAGGAACAAGTCACTTGCAGACTTCAACTGTTTCAAGTTGCAAACGAGTCTTGTTGATAATCTTGAAACTAATGTAAGTGTTACAGGGCGGCTACAGAGGCCTTGTTAAAAAGAACACTGTCAAGACTTTACCTCAACCCATCCTAATTCTTTCCCTACAATCAGATGCAGAGCCAAGTCTACCCAACTCCTTGTTAGCAAGCATTTGCACATGCAAGTCAAGGAGTGATCTAAATGTTGTGTGTCTGCAGAACTCACCCCCAATTTTGCAAGTATCCAGATCAGATGCCAGATTTGATGTACCTTTTAAAGTTTGGCCATTGTCTACAAGCTCCTTGGAGGTGATTTAAATATCTCATGTAAGTGCTACCTTTTCAACTCCCATCTCAATGCATGCCATTTTACTATATCTGGATTCATGCAGATACTGGACTATTGGGGTTTTTTAAAACCAGAGATAAAAAAAATCATTTTAGAACATTCCCACAGGAAAAAAAACCTGAGCAGAGGAGAAAAAAATCCAGTTTGGTGCCTACCAACCTTGACAGTGTTCCTTGTTTCTTTAGTATTCTGAAATTTGATCACACTCCCATAACAATGTTCGGCAACATTGCTTAATGATTGTATTGATTTTTATTTCTTCTAAAACCTCTTAAATAGTAACTTATTGTAGTTTGACTGGTCGTAACTTAAGCCATTTCATAACATCTTTGAAGATGGATTCCTGTGCTGGAATTGCATTTACCTTATAATCGCACATTGACTCAGAGGTGAAACAGGTGAGAGCAATTCGAGCATCACATACTGTCAAATGTCTGGGGTTTTTCTTCTACTGACTGTATCCCTACTCTTCTGGGCCTGTATGACAGAAAGCACTGCTCTGGCAAGAGTTGAGAGAAAAGTCAAATCAAGTAGAGGAAAGGATGACCAGTGCCTGAATTTGGGGTTCAGAGTAAGGCATTAAGCATACTTGCTAGGGCTATATATAGCACAATCTCAGAAGTGGCGGACTGGAAGGGACCTTCAGAGGTCATCAACTTCATCCCCCTGTGCTGAGGTAGGACCAAGTAAACCTTGATAGGATTTTGTCCAACCTGTTCTTAAAAGGATTTTCCAGAGCCTCTTTTGGAAACCTATTCCAGAACTCAACTATTGTTATTGTGAAACAGGATTTCCTAATATCCAACCTAAATCTCCCTTGCTGCAGATTAAGCCCATTACTGCTTGTCCGACCTTCAGTACATATTGAGAACAATTGGTTACCATCCTTTTTGTAAAAACCCTTAACATTGCTGAAGTCTTATCAGGTCCCCGCTCCATGTTCTTGTCCCAAGACTAAACATGCCCAGTTTTTTTAGCCTTTCCTCATGTCAGGTTTTCTAAGCCTTTTATTTGTTACTCTCCTCTTAACTCTCCACATCTTTCTTGAAGTGTGGCACCCAGAACTAGACAAAATGCTCTAAGCTGAGGCTTACCAGTGCCAAGCAGAGGGACCACTAACACCACCCCTCCCCCCCATATCCTACATGGAGACACTCCTGTTAATACACCCCAGAACATTAGCCCTGATTGCAAATTCATCATTGACTCATTTGTGATCCACTATAACCCCCAGATCCTTTTCAGCATTACTGTCACCTACCCAGTTATTCTGCTTGTATTCCACTTTGATACACCGCCACCATCCAGTGTATCATATCTGAATTGATTATGGGCGTCTCTTAAGCAAACTGACGCTGGTATCAAATCTATCCCAAATAATGGAACTAAAGATTTCCTGCCACTAAAATATGACCAAGTTTATTTTTAAATAGCCCTAAATCCCTTACTTGAACCCATATCTTCAGAAGTAAAATACTTGAACTATGACAGTTTGCCCATCATCATGAGGCTTTTAAATAAATTACCTGAGACTGTCAGGGATTATACCTGTGCTACTCTTTGTTCCAAGTCAGAAGGATGTGTCCAGAAAAAATGCCTAGGGTGTATACAAGGAAGCATATAGCCATTAAATTGTTTTACAACATATACCTATTCTCTCACTACAGCAGCACTTTCAAATGAAATAGTTAATTCAAGAGAAAGACATCATGGCTGCTCTCTTCAAAGCACAATTTCATCCAAAAAATATCTAACTTCATACCCTAAGGTAATAGGCACTTGAGTTTCACCCTTTTGAGCTTTACAAGAATTTGAAAAAGGTAAAAGCAAGTCCATCTCCTCTTCACCCAGAACTTGAACAAGAGACTGCAGGTATCCCCTACATATCTCAAAATGAGACTGGAGGCAGTTTTTATGTAGCTAAAGGAAGTCTTGTTAAAATATTTATCATGCCTTATTTTCTTGCAGAGCCAGCACTAATACAGAACTACAAATTAAAAAATATGCACAAACCAAAAAGTAATTTGAAATTTTCATTTGAAAGTAAGCTTAATTCTATCATTCACAAACACTAGTTTAAATAACTCAATCCTAATAATACATCTAAACAAACTATAATGCAACATATGTTCTCTCTATTTGCGCATATATAGATATATATAACTCATGTCAATGGGAGTTACATATATGCATTGAGACTAGACCCCTTAAGACTGCAAATCAGGTGTTTCTACAGTTAAAGTTAACACAAAATGGTAATTGAGAAATGCATCAATCTTCTCTATTAACAAGAAACACCCTAAGCTACATTTCTTTATTTTTGTTAAAGTCTGAACTAAATGTGGAAAAACTGAACTACACAAATATTGAAAAGTTAAAAATTCCTTAATTGTTTTTTATTCCTGGTACCACTACCACAATTTACAGGGCAATATACCTGATGTAATGAAAAAAAAAAAAAAAGAAAGACAAAGCTACAACAGATAGAAGACCTCAGGAATGTACATCTAATTGACACTACATTGCATTAATCAATAGCTGCACTTTTTGCAAACTGTGGCTATGGCAGTCCTGAACAAGAAGGGTTTTCTGTTTAAGCTGCAGTAACTTTTCTGACTATGGATCATCGTTCCTTCTGTGGCAGATTTTACAGTTCCTCTAATGCATTTGGGACGACTGTCTCAAAGTAACCTGCAGCTTTCCTGACAACTCCTCGCTCTCTCTCTCCTGCTAAGAACTGTAGCCTGTTGAATACAGGATAAGAAAATTATTACTCAGTGAACAGCTGTATATTCTTCATCATCATTGTCATTTATATGTATAATATACCCACCCTTTTTCTGGTTCAGTTTAGAATCTTCGGCCACCATAGCCACCACTGCCACCTCCAGATCCATAACCACCTACAAGTAACATATATATATTTACGTAAAATTTCTTTGCAAGTGTTTAAAATTTTTTGCGCAAAGAGTTATATTTACCACCATAGGGACTGCCTGAGCTTCTGCCACCAAAACTGCCACCTCCTTTCATGGGTCCATAGTTTGACTGCTGTTGTCCACTATAATTGCCAAAATCATTATAGTTTCCACTGCCACCATAGTTACCTGAAACAAAATTTATTTTTAATCATCCCAAATTTACCACCTAAGACAGCTTCAAACACAAAAACCTGAAGAACCCCACTGATTGGCCTCAGGTTGTATACTTAAGCCACAGAAGTGAAAGGCAAACTCAAAACTGGTATTGTTAATGTAGCCCTCAACATAGAAGTTCTCTCCACTCCCCACCCACAAAAGAAAAACGTGAAACATCACTTCTGATTTAGGGGAAAGTAAGAAATGGGTCTTAACTTTCTTATGAGGGAGAGCAATGTGGACAAATTAGTGTTTATAATCAAGTTTTACAAAATTCTGGTCATATGGCTTGCCACAGCCTCACGCTAACCCATGCCAGTCCAACTTTTAACACCATCTTGGGGAAGAGAACATGTACTACCTTGTCTTTGACCAAGCATCCACACCATTATGTCACTCCTATTTCTACCTCTATTAAGGCAGAAAGTCAGTTTTTCTACTGAGGCACCCTAACCATAATTACCCAAATTAACAGCTTTCCACCTGTAATTCAGTATCTCTTTAAGGCAGAACTTATAGCAGTATTTGTGGGTTCGCACTATATTAGTTGCCGAAAAGCATCGCTAGATGAAGGTTCTACAGTTAGAGATAACAGTTAAACAAGATGAACCCTTTTCAAGTCCTTGATAGCTGCTAACTAGCTACCAACCAGTCTTGGAAGAGAAAAGTTATCCAGGAAAACTGCAGAGAGTTTTCCGCCCCCTTTTATAGGAAAAACAAACTATCAATTCAGGACCCACTCCTCCTTCTATATCCAAAAAGGCCAGTTAACCATTAATGGCTTGATTAGCCCTGTACTTAAGAATGTGCTTAACTGGAGCCTTTGGCCAGGTCTATATATAGAAAGTGCACTGATTAAAAAACAAATTAGTTACACCTATCTGGTTTAAGTAGTGCAATGCCTTTGTGGGGCTCTTAAGTCAGTGTAGGAGTGGCTGAACTAATATCACCAAGTTTAGCTAAATTTATATTAGCCATTTCTACACTGATTTAAGAAAGTTTCCTTCAAAGGGGCTCCACTGGCTTAATTAAATCAACTGAAAAGCCAATTTGTTAATCAGTGAGCTAATCCTATTAATCACTGCAATGCCCGAGAGTATAAAAGCCCCATAAACCCCATCAACATGAGCAAAAAGTCTTCCAATCAAGCCAGATAAGCTTGTAAGATATAAAATACATTACAATTGTCTATATTGGTGTTTGGAAGGGTTTCCAATCAAGTTGATTGAACTTAGTGGAAAGAGACATTTTGGTTATGTTGACAGGGACTTCCTTACCTTTCAAAACAGACTCATCCTTTGGCCAGGTCTACACAGCCCCCAGGGCAGGCTATAGGAGTGAGTTGTGGCATGCACTGCCAGGAGTATATTAATGTGAACTAGGTAGCTTTTATGCTCATGCTAGCAGGGCCTACACAGGGTATTTACAGTACAATGGTTTAGTGCAGGGGTAAGCAACCTGTGGCATGCGTGCCAAAGGTGGCACGCGAGCTGATTTTCAGTGGCACTCACACTGCCCAGGCCACTGGTCCGGGGGACTCTGCATTTTAATTTAATTTTAAATGAAACTTCTTAAACATTTTAAAAACCTTGTTTACTTTATATACAATAATAGTTTAGTTATATATCAGACTTATCGAAAGAGAACTAAAAAAAAACATTAAAATATATTACTGGCATGCGAAACCTTAAATTAGAGGGAATAAATGAATACTCAGCACACCACTTCTGAAAGGTTGCAGACCCCTGGTTTAGTGCATACTGCAACTCACACCCCCATAGGCAAGCCCTAGGTGGGCTTTGTAGGGGTATATTACAATGGCAGAGTGCTCCTAGTATGAGTTCAGCTCATACCTTCACAACTACTTTTGTTGGCATCTCTTATTCCAGACATCAAGGGATGTACGCTACATTTGGCAAAAGCAGAGTTTTGCCAGTGTACCTGCATCCTACAGTAAGGATTTTTACCAGCACAGCTATGTTGATCAGGTATCACCCTTCTGACCAATACAGCTATACTAGCAAGAATGTGTAGTGTAGACCTGGTCTTTATTCTAATACACCATTATGCAACCAAAAACACTGAGTGTCCTCATTGAAAGCTGCATGTATAGACATTGGTGATATTTCAACTTTTCAAAAATGCCCCTCCCTTCTTTACCCATTCATAACACACAGGGACTTGTTAGGAAAGCAACCTTTTGCTAATAGTTAACCTATATGTAATCCCTTTATTAATACTTATATTGATGGTTTGAGGCTAATAAGCTTAATTGTCAAATATAGTTTACATATCAAGAGTGGTAGTGACTAATTTCCTGACTTTTGCAGTCTAATTAGTAATTTTGCACTCATTTCCTAATGAAAGAAAATGCAATAAACTGAAATACTTAAGTGTTAGTATTTAAATGTCTTATACAGACTTTGATATTCAAACCTTGCTGAGGTCACAGGATGGAGGAAGGGAAGTTTTGTATCTTACTTTCTGGCCAAAATAGTAGTAGTCTGCAGGTTATGAAAGATTAAACTAAATACCTTCACGCCACGTTACAGAATTTTGATATATTAAGTTGGGCATAGTCCTGGGAATTCTCTACTCCTCCTCGCTCAAGACATCAGAAGAAAGTCTCTCCTCTATCTGCTACTCCCCCCCTCCACCCCAAAAATTATGGTCATTGCTCTTTATAAAAAAATTCCTGAGCAATGAAAGCCTGTACAATTAAGCATAAACATAAGGAAAGTTCGCTTACCCCCTCTGCAATATCCTTATGTTGATTATATTTGGGGCCAAACCCTAACCTCTGTCATTTCTAGAAGGATTACTATAGCCCGTAATTTTAGGTTCTATATAGTTTAGATTTGCGAGCTATAGGCTACATTTTAAAGATCTGCAACTACTACTTACCGCCACCAAAATTTCCTCCTTCGTTGTAACCATCGTATCCACCACCTCCTCCTCCTCCTCCACCACCACCGCCGCCACCATATCCACCACCTGGGTTTCCGTATCCTGGTCCTCCTCCACCACCACCGTAACCCCCTCTACTACTGTAACCAGGGCCACCTCCATAGTTCCCACCTAAAAAAGAAAGATTAGTCAGTGTACCAAAAAAATTAGGTATAGATTTAAGTAGAATAAGTATGCTGCAACTGAAATGCTAAGTTTTCTTCAGCTACAAGAATACTCTTTGATAAATTAATAGCTAGGTAAGTCACAACACATTAGTCTATGTGTCTGTACCAAAAGCAATAAAGTAGCTTTAATTATATTTGCATCACTGCCAGGTGTTCTTGCTTTATATAGATAAAAAAGGCATATTGAAAAAGATTCAAATCAACATACTGTGCAAGGGACCAATCATGCAAACATTTCTTTGGGGAGTAACTTTACACACAAGAGTAGACCACTGAACTCAATGTGACTACTTCACATGTGTTTGGAAGATCAGGTCTAAAATAGTCTACTGTTCTCAAAGGCAGAAGTGCCACTTACACATCTCACTGATGGGAAACTTGCAGAAGTTCTGTCCAGACACTGGTTTGGATGTTAATCCAAACCCAAGTCTGCTAAGATTACAAGTTTATGAAATCTTTTACATATGAACCTCAGATATTAAGTCAACTTTCATATCATCTGGTCATATCTGACCCTTGAGGTTTCAGCCAGAGCAGGCATAGGGACTGGAAAAAGTTAGCTTTCATTTAACTGTTTTCACTCAATGAATTATTTGACCATCATTTACTTAAATGTAGATGTGTTTAAGGCTCAGTTTACACTTGGATCAGTTTCATTTTAACCAACTTGCTCATCTAGGGAAGATGTTACTGCGCTGAAAAAAAAATATCAAAAGGAAGTCATTCAACTCATGTTGCACAATATCCAAGAAAACAATCACTGCCAAAATAACCTCACTTTCCAAAGTCCAAAGCCAGTTCTGACCAAGTGGTATTAGGATATGCTTACCATCGCCAAATCCATTATATCCATCACCACTCCCAAAGCTTCCACTTCTCCCACCACCACCGCTACCGCCACCATAGCCTCCTGGACCAAAGAAAAGAGGTTTTCATGAACAAACAGAAGTCTGGTTGAGCCAACATCTCATTTTGATGAAATATGAAAGAGACTCAATCATCTACCTCTGCCACCAAAGTTTCCTCCTCGGCTGAAATTTCCACCACCACCACCTCCTCCTCCTCCAAAACTTCCACGACCCATGAAGTTGCCTGAGCCACCCCCGCGACCTACAAGACATTTTACATATATTAAATGAAATGCAAACTAATCTATGTAAAAATATCCCATTATGCACCACCTCAAACTTACCTCTCTGTGAGCTAGCAGTCTGCATCTCTTGCTTGGAAAGTGCTTTTTTCACTTCACAATTATGTCCATTTATAGTATGATATTTCTGAACTAGAAAATAAACAATTTTGAAATAGTTTCTCGTTTTCACTGTTCACTAGAACATGAGCTACACGAAGCTTTAGTAAAAGCATAAGCACAGGTTAAAAGCAAAGATTATACTACATGCAATATTTCTTGTAGCATACTTTCAGTCAACTATTTGCTTACTAATAACACATTCCATGCATGGTTCAGGTCTGTGTAAAATCAGTTATACTATTTCAAGTAATTTCACATTCTATAACAGTCACATACCAACAATTTTATCAACTGTATCATGATCATCAAAAGTTACAAAAGCAAATCCTCTTTTCTTTCCACTCTGCCTGTCTTCCATGACTTCTATGGTTTCAATCTTGCCATATTTTTCAAAGTAGTCTCTTAAATTATACTCTTCTGTATCTTCTTTAATTCCACCAACAAATATTTTCTTTACTGTTAAGTGTGCTCCAGGCTTTACAGAATCCTAGAAGGCCAGAAATTATATTTAGTACTTTATATTTCTCATGACTTCTTAATATACTCAGTACAAATTAAGTTATGACTTACTTCTCTAGAAACTGCTCTCTTGGGCTCGACCACACGCCCATCAACCTTATGTGGTCGAGCACTCATTGCAGCATCTACCTCTTCCACACAAGAGTATGTCACAAAGCCAAAGCCTCTGGAACGTTTTGTTTGTGGGTCTCTCATCACCTACAAGAGCATAAGAGACATGCTATCATCTTACTACATTTAGATATTTACATTGTTTCAGAAACATTTTTTGAATTATGACAACTTACCACACAGTCTGTGAGCGTGCCCCATTTTTCAAAATGTTCTCTTAAGCTATCATCTGTTGTTTCAAAGCTCAGGCCTCCAATGAACAGTTTTCTCAACTGTTCTGGCTCCTTCGGGTCATGGCCCTGCAAAAACAAGACATTTTCTCAGCAAGCTACACCAAACACTTGTGTCCTGTCAAGTTAACAAGTTTGGTAGCATTACTAACAATTCTTCTGAGTTTTTCCCCCATAATATAAATATTTAAATAAGTTTTGTTCACAACAATAAAAAAAGTTTAACATTCGGTGAAGAATAGGTTTAAGTATTTCCACTGGTTAGCTTCTTTAGTGATGTGTGGTTTTGTTTAGCAGGCTAGAACTTGGTTTTGAATTTTAATATTACAAGTTTGGTCATACCTATAGCTAGATACAAGAGTATCAAACAGTTTATTTTTAAAGTGTATCCAAATATCTATGGCATGTTAATGCTATTTGATCTGCAAGTCTCAGGAACTATATCCTATGGATTTCATTATAAGTGAGCCACCACTATATACTGGCAAATAACTTCTGTAAGGTTAAAAATAAAGCAAGACACCAAGCCAAAGGGCACCGTCAAGGAACTGAAGACCAGAGTCTCAGTGGTCTGAGAACATGCTGTTTTGCTAGATTTAAGTGACCAGTGACTTTGGGAGCCCACACTATAAAGGGGCCCAATTTTCAGAGGATGGGATCTTTCAAGATAAGCAACTAAAAACTAAGATATACAAAATCAGTCACTTTTTGAGCATCTCGGCCCCTGTACAGAGGCAAACAAAGTTGTAAAAGCTTTCTTATAGCAAGATTCAAATGTCTCCTTTGCCAACCTTTCTGACTGGACAGCAACAATTCCATCCACCAACAGCCATTAGCTATGTTAGTCTGAAAGTATAACGAAAAGCATTGTGGCCCCACACCTTGTCCAAGAGTGAAACAAGGTCTTGTCTATATGGCAGGGTTGAACTGATTTACCTGAAGGTGTTATTTTAAAAACAGATTTAGTTAAACTGCTGCAAAAAGCTGCAAGGACATGTGAAGACAGTGCTTAAAAATGTGGATCGTATACAAATTAGTGAAGCAATTACAAGTATTTTAAAAGAACATTTAGGTCATGCTAGAACATCTTCTATGACTTATTTTTGTAGATCAAATTTAAGACATTTTTGGAAATCTGAATTAAGTGTAAGCTTATTTTATGTCTTCATTCAACAAACGTTTTTCTAAAAGGCCACAATGTAAAGTATCTTGAAACACTAGTCTCAACAGTGCTGTGAAAAAAGGGCCCCAAGGTACTTTCTTGAGCTGGGCCCATGAAACAAGGTTAAAGCTGGAGGAACAACTACTGTATGGAAAGCAAAAGTAAGGAAAAGCTTGTTTCTAGTTTAGTTGAGCTAAATTTTAATGTGAGCTATTAAAATTAAATGCACAGTTTAGTTTTCCCAGAGTGCAGCTTCTCAGGGAGTTCTTTAACCCAGAGGTTCTCAAACTGGGGGTCGGGACCGCTCAGGGGGTCGCGAGGTTATTACATGGGGGGGTCACGAGCTGTCAGCCTCCACCGCTTTGCCTCCAGCATTTAAAATAGTGTTAAATATAAAAAGAGTGTTTTTAATTTATAAGGGAGGGTCACACTCAGAGGCTTGCTGTGTGAAAGGGGTCACCAGTACAAACATTTGAGAACCACTGCTTTAACAGTATATTTTGAATTTTGTTTTTAAGTTTAAAGACGTAAGGGGTTTTCTCCTTCCTATTAGTTTCAAGTGACTTAAGCAATGAAGGAGATAACTGACAGTCAAAGTGCTGACAATGTACAACATTTTTTCGGCAAACTTACCAATTATTGTAACCACAGGTTTTACTAAATTACACAGCAGGTTAAAAATTAAAGAGTGTTACAAGTTGATTACATCTCTTTAAGACTACTGGGCAACTCATACAACAGCTCATGTGGGAAAAGCAGTAGAAGACTATTTTAACGTTTATGAAAGCATAGTCACAAAATAAGAAATAGGAAACACACTCCAGAGTGGAGTGCTGGCACAAGGCCCTGTGCACAATTAAAGCCCTACAGTGGGTATGTGCATGAGGGACCACTGCATCTGCTCCCAACAGGCTAATGTGGGGCAGAAACAGGGCAAACTGAAGGATGGCTGATTGTAGATACAACTATATGGATCAAGTAACCCTGGCCTCAGACAGATGTGATCTGCCACTCCAATCTGCAAGTGGAGCATTCCAGTCCTGCTCTCAGGTTAGGGACAGTCATTTGGTTTTTTTCAGAAAAAAAAATGTATTTCCCTTTGAGTGAATGCAATATGGCTGCTTTGAAGGACAACATATTTATAAGTTATTTGTTCAAGAGTGCTTAGCAAACAAAGGCTTAAGGCTGAATTTTGTACCACTTCTGGGAAATATTCAATTAAGTGGGTTCCAAACTATAGTGCAAAGACCAATGGCTGGTGATTCATGAAGAGCTGGCTCTCATTTTCAGATGAGAAACTATAGATAGCCAAAAGCATCCCCCCCACCCCCATATTAGTTTTATATTTTAAACAACTGACTTAGTTACCATACAAATACTATGTAATGGTTAAGTAGAGAGGGGGGTTTCCGGGGTCCTATGACTGCAAGTGGGAGACATGGGTCATGAAATACTTTAAATGGTCCAGACTCTGAAAATATTTGAGTACCTTTACTCCAAATACTTTAGTTACATTTGTATTTAAAAATTTTAAAGATTCCAGTTTAGTCATGGTGTAATTATTGCTTGATATTAACTGCAATATAATGCAATCAGCAGCATTCATAAGTTTACATGACATATGCTAAAGAGTCAGTATTTAACCTACATGTTTTTTTACATTTACATTAGCCAGCTTTGTTTTTGATTGTATATGTACACACACTCCTTTCCCTGCTGTGCCTGTCTGTTTTAGTATTAGCAGGCACTGAATTTACAGAAATAATAAGTAAAGGTCTTGAATATTTCAAACTTGCCTGCTCACAGTAATGGAGCAAAAGGAAGTGTGAAGAAAAGCTATCTCAACATGAATTTTGTTTGGCAGTTCAGCCTGCTAACAGAAAAACTGAGCTGGGTTCCTTTGTTAAAAGGGACCTACAAAGAGAAAAAGTGGACCTGGTCCCTTTTGTTTTTCAACATGTATCAGGCCTGCCATTTTAATATAAATATACAAATAAGAGAAAAATCAGGTCTTATCTATGCTCCAGGAATAAGACTGGAGAACAACTGAAAAGAGTCATTCCTGGTGGAAGGGGAATTCTGCTGTGTCATTTTCTCCCCCTGGTTCCTGCACAAACTGCAGTCTTTCCTTGGGATTTCTTGTGTATTGTATTCTCATTGGGCAAGAAGGAATAGATCTTGGTGCATTAGTTTCTCCCTGAGGCAGGAGGTATTTTGCTGGGTACTGCACTCTCCTCCTAGTGATTTTTTCTCTCTCTCTCTTTTTTTTTTTTTTGCATGAGAGTGAAGGGGGATGTTTCTATTTTAAAGAAGCTCTCCAGGAAGATGTTTTTTTCTGGGAGTTTGTCGCTTGGGAAGCAGGGCTAACTTGTTAAGGATTTCATTTTCTCTGGGGACGGATGGCTGGGGTTTTCTAGATGTTAGTTTCCTCGGGATGGGATCAGCATTGTCCCTCATGCGTGTGTGAGATGGACTATGGTGTTAGTCTCCAGGATTATGCTGAATATTATATCATGTCATCTACTTTCAGCCTGTTCCATTCCCCTCCCGAGCAGATGGTTGCAATGGAGAGGAAACGCAGCACAGGCGCTCGCAGCCTCTTGCATAGAGGAAGGGCAGCCTCCCCCGAGCCCACACTGCGGGCCTGCGCGCCATTTCGCGGCGCCGAGACGCCTATTCAGGGGGCGAATTCCGGAACGGGAGCGGCCAGTTTCTGCTCCGACCCGGCCCAGGCGGCACGCTCCGCCGCCAGCCCCCCCTCCCTCCCGGCAGTCTAGGCCAGCTGCCGCGCTCCCCCGGCGCGGCGCTAACGCGGCGGCGGTTACCTCCATTTTGTGACCGGACACGAGTCGCCGCGTTCACCCTCGCCTCAATATGGAGCAGAGAGGAAAGCGGGATCACGTGATAGGAGGAAGGCGGGCTTGAAACCAGCGCGCGCACCCAGCTGTCGCTTACTGGCAAGGGGAGGAGGGAGAGGGCCTGTCCCTCTTTCTCCTGTGGGAGCAGCGTCTCTGGCACCATATGCAAGACCAACATTTTCTGTTTAGAGACCCCAGGGTCGTTGTACTAAGCAGCCACAACAGGAGCGCATGAGGAAGGGGCGAAATACAAGACATGGCCGGGTGCGAACGCGCCGCTTCCTTAAGTCTCTGTCCTTCCCTTGTACAGGCGCCCCCAGATCCTAGCATTTCCACCTACATGTGGAAACCGCTGCCAAAACCCCCTCTGCAAGCCCGCACAGCACTCCATGAGAAGCCTACGCTTTGTCCAGAGACACAAAGTTAGCCACGGAAGACTAAAAAGCACTTAAGTGCAACAGCAAATTATGTTTTGGGAAGCAGCTCCAACACCAGTTCACTTGTTTCATATTTATAGCACAACAGCTTCTGAGGAACACTTAGATTACAGTGTTTTCCCAGATTACTTACAGGTGCTGTTTTCACAGCCCGAGATATCAATATCCTTTATCAACAGGGGGATAAAAAAGACATGCAGATAGGAACTGTGGAGAAGCTTGTATTGGCACTGTCAGTGTATACCAACTGATCTGCAGGGACCAACCCTAGCTAAGAATAAGATATGGCAGCTCAGGGACCAACCCTAGCTAAGAATAAGATATGGCAGCTCAATCTCCAAGCCTATTCAATCCCCAAGTATTTTCAGAGACCAAAAATAAGACTGACAGTTAGTGACAGTGTTTGGTGGAGACACTTGTCCTCTGGAAAACTGGCTGCAGATTTGTCATGACATTTTTAATCAAGAAAATCAGCAGTAATGGTAACTTTAGTAAAAGCCATAGGTTGTGATTTTTTATACAATACTTTAACATAGTATCTTGTTAAAATCATAGGCCAGCGTCTACAGCCTTTCCTCTGTCATGTTCTCCTCCTCACCCTGCTGAGGGAGCACCAACATCCACAACAGAATCATTATCCTCTGCACAGCAACTCTAATCTTGGCCCAGTAAGGAAGGGGATGGAGGCTGAAGAGCAAGCCTGCCCTACATTCATCCCAATGGCAGCTCCTACATCCTGTAGGACTTAGCCTGGCTCCCTGCTCTGGATATTGCAATCAGCACTCAGGTTTGGCCTGGTCACTTCTCAGTCATGGGGGCACTGAGACCCTTTGCCCATGTTGCAAAGCCCTGAATGGAGAACCAGGCCCTACCCCATAGGAGCCACCACTGAGGGACATACCCCATCCTCAGGGCCTCCCCTCTTCACCAGGCTGGCAGGCCAACCCACCTAAAGCCTTCCTGCATGGAAGTCAGAGAAACCACATCCATAACATTTTCACCACCATGAAATCTGCAGCCCTAAAATGACCATTTAACTCATTTTTTGCTTGTGGGTTCAGAGACTGAGCGACTGATGTTACTTTTTTTGCATCTTTGGATAGAATGTAATAGTTATGGCATTGTTTTTAAAAGGTTTAAGGACCACTTTTGATACAAAATATCCTTATGCACAACTACAAAATGTGGAACAAATGGAAGGTGGTAGTACTGCTGAAAAGGATCTGGGGGGTATAATAGATCAAATTGAATGAGACAATATGAAGAAGTTTAAAAAGGCTAGTATTCTTGGGTGTATTAACAGGAGTGTTGTACGTAAGACACTGGAAGTAATATTCCAACTCTACTTAGCATTGGTGAGGCTTCAGCTGGAGTACTGGGTCCAGTTCTGGGTGCTACATTTTAGGAAAGATGCAGGTAAATTGGAGCAAGTCCAAAGGAGAGGAACAGAAGTGATAAAAGGTTTAGAAAACCTGACCTACAAGGAAAGGTTACAAAAACCAAGTCTTTTCTCAGGACTAAAAATGCCGAGGGACCTGATAGGGAAGTTATCACTTTTACGAGGTATAGTCTCACTTCCATTCTCAGAGGTTGTAAGGAATTGTTGTTCATTTTAGTTACAGATAGCCTGTCTTCCCTCTCATTGAGAAAAATGGAAGGAATTCTGAATAAGCTGTGGATGTGGTATACCTAGACTTTAGTAAGGCATTTGATACGGTCTCGCATGATATTCTTATCGACAAACTAGGCAAATACAATTTAGATGGGGCTACTATAAGGTGGGTGCATAACTGGCTGGATAACCGTACTCAGAGAGTTGTTATTAATGGTTCCCAATCCTGCTGGAAAGGCATAACGAGTGGGGTTCCGCAGGGGTCTGTTTTGGGACCGGCTCTGTTCAATATCTTCATTAACGACTTAGATATTGGTATAGAAAGTACGATTATTAAGTTTGCGGATGATACCAAACTGGGAGGGACTGCAACTGCTTTGGAGGACAGGGTCATAATTCAAAATGATCTGGACAAATTGGAGAAATGGTCTGAGTTAAACAGGATGAAGTTTAACAAAGACAAATGCAATGTGCTCCACTTAGGAAGAAAAAATCAGTTTCACACATACAAAATGGGAAGAGACTGTCTAGGAAGGAGTACGGCAGAAAGGGATCTAGGGGTTATAGTGGACCACAAGCTAAATATGAGTCAACAGTGTGATGCTGTTGCAAAAAAAGCAAACGTGATTCTGGGATGTATTAACAGGTGTGTTGTGAGCAAGACACGAGAAGTCATTCTTCTGCTCTACTCTGCTCTGGTTAGGCCTCAGCTGGAGTATTGTGTCCAGTTCTGGGCACCGCATTTCAAGAAAGATGTGGAGAAATTGGAAAGGGTCCAGAGAAGAGCAACAAGAATGATTAAAGGTCTTGAGAACATGACCTATGAAGGAAGGCTGAAAGAATTGGGTTTGTTTAGTTTGGAAAAGAGAAGACTGAGAGGGGACATGATAGCAGTTTTCAGGTATCTAAAAGGGTGTCATGAGGAGGAGGGAGAAAACTTGTTCACCTTAGCCTCTGAGGATAGAACAAGAAGCAATGGGCTTAAACTGCATCAAGGGAGGTCTAGGTTGGACATTAGGAAAAAGTTCCTAACTGTCAGGGTGGTTAAACACTGGAATAAATTGCCTAGGGAGGTTGTGGAATCTCCATCTCTGGAGATATTTAAGAGTAGGTTAGATAAATGTCTATCAGGGATGGTCTAGACAGTATTTGGTCCTGCCATGCGGGCAGGGGACTGGACTCGATGACCTCTCGAGGTCCCTTCCAGTCCTAGAATCTATAAGATCAAGAATTCATTAATTTACTGCTGATGCTCCTGAGCATAAGCAGTAAAGCAGAAAACACCTCAATCAGTGAAAATTAGCAACTTTGAGGACATTTGTAAGATAAATTTTGTTATAGTAACAGAATAGAAGTACAGATTTTATCTCATTCTCAGAGTCTGTCCTGTAGAAGTAATAAACTATACATAACATTTTAGCAAACAAGTTTGTTGCTCGGACCCTGTTTTGTTTCGGTTTTTGTAATGCAAGGGATGGGAGTGTTTGAACAAGTTGTTAATAGAGCCCAGCAGGGATGAATGGTGAAGTGTTGTTACATACCTGGCATAGAAACATTCAGACAGACAAGACTCATTCATCTACCCATATAGGAGAACCAGAATGAACTTAAGAAATAAAGGAAACACTACCTGTGAAGATCTTCTTCCTTTCCTCTTGTAGTCTTCAATATCTCTCTCCTCTTTGATCCCAGACATTTTGGAAGGATGCACTAACTCAGTTGCTCCTTTTAACCTAGGAAACAAGCAGTACGAGTCAATATTTACCTCTTGGGGTCTTTTTCTTCCCCATAGGTAAAGAAGCATGCCTTTCCATGGGTTGGAACAAACAAGTGGCTTTACTAAGGGGGGCAGGGTATGGCAGTGGGGCAAAGCTCTATAAAAAAAAATAGTAGAACAAGTTACAAGCCAGTAGATGGAAGCTTAGAGGAAGAGTGCTGCAACGGGATTTGTTTTTTGTGTTTAACCTTTAGGTTATTTTTAAGATAGTTACTCTAATTGCTAGTTAGGGAAGTGAGGTCTGAAAAAAATGTTTCAGTTGATTTATAAAACACCATGAAATCTGACTGCTGTTGTATAGCTATCAATATATGATTCATCTTACTACATAAAATTTCATTTCTGGTCTTAGATTCTGTTCCTGATATCCTTTAAAGGAATGGTGGGCAACCTGCAGCCCATCAGGGTAAACCACTGGCGGGCCACAGGTTGCCTACCACGGCTTTAAAGCCTCCAATGTTTAACAAACATTGTTTATTAACAGGATGATTTCCCTACTTTATTGGGTATGTTTCCCCTTGTGTTCTACTCACTGAGCAAGTAGCCTACAAGACTGGAGCACTATAACATGGGAAAAACCATTGCCATAACAGCAAATATTGCTCTAATGCTTTACTTTAGACATTAATGCAAGAATCCTCTAATGCCACTGTGGGTTTCTGCTAGTTCAGAAAGTCCAAGATTGTGGTAAGCTGACCACTAGTGATCTGTATGTAGAGTACAACTGGTCAGATGGTTTTGCCTCATCTTTGTTTCCCGTTGTAAGTTTAATTAAAGCTAAAAACCTATAACATTTCTAATATCTGTCTTGTAAGAAACTGCTTACAGTTACCAAGGGCACATGCAGTCACAAATAAGGGAGGTAGTCAACAAGAATCTTCAAGATTGAAAAGTGTCTGAACTCGTGTGCTAGATCAGCAGTTCTCAAACTGTGGGTCAGGACCCCAAAGTGTGTCAGGATCCTTAATGGGGTCGCCAGGGATGGTGTTAGATTTGCTGGATCCCAGGGCTGAAGCCCAAAGGCTTCAGCCTTGGGTAGTGGGGCTCAGGTTACAGGCCCCCCACCTGGGGCTAAAACCCTTGGCCTTTGCTTCCCCCATTTTCCCCCAACCCAAGCAGCGGGGCTTGGGCAGGCTCAGGCTTCTGTCCCTCCTTGTGAGGTCATGTAGTAATTTTTGTTGTCAGAAGGGGGTCATGGTGCAATGAAGTTTGAGAACCCCTGTACTAGATTATTGTCCTTTAACAAGTGAAAGGCAGCATGTCCCCTCTACTCCTTGGCTATTTCAGTTAACACTGTAGTTTAGGCCCTCAATTTCCTCTACACTTCTAAATGAATAGCTGGAAACAACTGCACACAGATTTAGTCAACATCTAAACTTTCTAGTCACCATAAGAAATTTACAATATAATCTATTCAACTGTGAAATATTCTGGTAAATGTATTCCAAAGTGGGAGTAAAGTATAAGCTGAAAACACAAGGACAGATTCTCTCTGCCCTGGTGATAATTCAGTCAGTTTACTAAACTTAGCTTTTATATACTTAGCTTTTACAGGATATATATAAATCAGTGATTTCAATGTACTTTTTTTTATTTCAGCCACTGAAGAATATCCTGGGGAAGGCAGAGACCCCAGTTAGTAAGAGTCAGATGTACAGTTCTTCATGGGGCAAGAAGTATCAATAATCTAAAATTATCCCATATCCCATTTTGTTACCAATATAGGAATCCCCAATAAGGGAAAAATAGTTTTAATACTGTATGTTGGTTTTAGATTTAATTCTAACATATTCAGCAAAATATAGCAATGTAGAATCTAGTAAATCAGGAGCAATTCTATGTTTAGTCCAACAATGGTATTTGAAAAATGTAATTAGTAAACCAAGTAACTGCTTGACCATCACATGTGCAAGTTACCAAACAGAACTATTAGCTTTTTAGGTAGATATTGCATGCATTAAATGTGTAGACTAGATAAAGGTTTTGATTCTACATTAAATGAGAATGAACTTTTATTCTGTAAACTAAGACAAGACAAGATTTAAATCAAACTTTAATTTGATCAGATTTGAATCCAAATTTAAATGCTGTGATTTAAACAACACATCCTGTTTAGAAACAGGAGTTTTTATAGGAGCATTTATGAAGTACCATCAGAGCTTCTCTATTGTCCTCAAACACTGTCTACCTCAATGCTAAGTTTTGTGCAGCTTCATGTATGTCATTTCAGAGGTAAAAATCACCAATTTCTCTCTCAAGATTCCTCAGAGCAGGTGTTGGAGAAAATAGGAGTCTATTCCTTGCTTCTGAAGAACATAGGGAATTATGGGTAGCTGGAGGAGGCAGGTGGTGGGACCACGAATTGGAGGCAGTCAGGGGCTGCCAAACGGGAGCATGGGTGGGTTTTGATGCACGCAAGCACATGCCTGGGGGAGTTGTTAAGAGGTGTGGGAGGAGATTCCTCAATCTATTCCCCCTTTTAGACCTCTACTGTGCCTTTTTAAGGTTCTAAATTCCCTCACTTTCCTATCAGCAGCTGTTGTCACCACCAGCTAGGCTCTATGCAGGCCAGCACTGCAGGAAGGGTGGAGACGCTGCCTGAAATCTGGTGCCACAATGAACACAGGAGCCCAGGAGGAACTACTACTGTGTGCTTAGAGCAGAGGTGGGCAAACTAAGGCAGGTGGGCCAGACCATCCTGCCTGGCCTTTGAGCTTTTGGCCGGGGAGCCTAGCCCCCGGCCCCTTCCCCACTGTCATGCCACCGTGCGGGAAGCGCTCTGGGCGGCAGGGTTGCATGCACCTGCTGAGGAGAGTGCAGCATGTCTGGCTCCAGCCGGGCGGCGCGGCTGCCAGACATGCTGTTCTGAGCGGCATGGTAAGGGGACCGGGGGGTTGGATAAAGGGCAAGGGGTCCCGGGGGGCAGTCAGGGGACAGGGAGCGGGGCTGGATAGGTGTGGGAGTTCCAGGGAGCCTGTCAGGGGGCGGGGGTGTGGATAGGGGTCAGAGCAGTCAGGGGACTGGGAGCAGGGGGGGTTGGATAGGGGATGGGGTCCCAGGGCGGTTATGGAACAAGAAGCGGAAGGGAGGGGTGGGGTTGGATGGGTCAGGAGTTTTGATGGGGCAGGAAGTGGGAGGGGTTGGATAGGGGGCAGGGGCCAGGGGCCAGGCTGTTTGGGGAGGCACAGCCTTCCGTACCCGGCCCTCCATACAGTTTTGCAACCACCAACGTGGCCCTCCGGCCAAAAAGTTTGCCCACCCCTGGCTTAGAGGCCAGTTGAATGCATGAGGTATCAACTGGGATGCAGGCAGGCCTGATAGGCTTACAATATGCAGAAGTGTCAACATGCACGACATTTGGCAGTGCTATGTCTACAATGTGTTTCACAGAAAGTTATGGCACTGCATTTAAACACAGCTGTAGTTAAGCCAATTCTGACAAGGATAATATATTGCAAATATATCTGAATTCCTTTAAAACATACCCTGTTTCCCCGAAAGTAAGACATCCCCCGAAAATAAGACCTACTTCCAGTTTTGCCTCTCGCTGTAATATAAGGCATCCCCCCGAAAATAAGACCTCCCCGATAATAAGGCCACCCCGGAATATAAGGCCCCGAAGCTCCAGGAAAAATAAGACCTCCCCTGAAAATAAGACCTAGCGCATCTTTGGGAGCAAAAATTAATATAAGACACTGTCTTATTTTCGGGGAAACAGGATAGTTTCATAAACAGAACTAAAACTGGGCTAGAAACAATGTAAATGGTTTACACTGTTGCAGACAACCCATTCCCAATGTAAGCAGCATTATCATTTGATTAGGTACACCATGGATTTTCAAGCTATATTAATCATGATCCACACTGTTAAATGTCAGTAGGACAGCTCCCCTACCATTTGCAAACTGTGCAACATCCCTGAGGCAACTAAAACAATTGCTTACACAGAAAGTTATTCTGACCTGTTATGCTATCGTCTGGAGTTTCCTCTCTGCCTCTTATGCAGTAGCAGTTACTAATGGAGGCAGCCAGGTTCTCCCTTTCTTCTAGTTGCTTTTACACGCTTCAGGCCTGGATACCTGAGAAACGGAGTGGTGGAATCTTGCTGTGAGTTTCTACTGAGCAGGGATACCCACATCCCTCCCCAATGGATCACAGAGAAAGGAACGGCTGTGTAAGAGCTCTCTCCAACAGTTGGGGCATTACAGGATCTTCCATGGGTGGTGGTAGGATTTGCTTTGTATCTTACTCTCAGTGTAGGCCAGATCCAAAAATCAATTGAAGTCAATGGGAGTCTGACTTCAATGGGCTTTGGATCAGATTCCGTGTGAGACTCTTCCTTTGTCTCTCTTCCCAGAGTCGTGGCAGCTGTATGTTGGTTGTTGGCCGGGACAGACTTTGGCTTTAGACGTTTCTCCCCCTGGGGACAGTGGGGATTGTGCTGCTGTGGGTGCAACTGCCAGCCTGTTCTGGAGGTGGGGAGGTGTCACGTATAGCAGTCTCTCCCCCAGGAGGTGCAGTGAGAAGGATGGCATTTTGCGGTTTCTCTACAGGAGGAAGGGGGGCAGCAGGATGGCATTTTGCAGCTGTGGGTTGGAGGGTGTCCCAGCCTTTCTCGGGTGCCGACTGGAGAGTGTTTGTCGATGCCGAGAGGGGGGGTTGCTGGAAATTACGCTCCTCCTTTAGGTGCATGCGGTGGGGATTTTACTGGGGGCCGGGGCTCACTCTCCACCCCCACCCTCCCGGCGGGGGGCTATTACGAGGATTGCGGTTTCCTGGCCGGGCCCATAGTGTCAATCTCCCTCCCTCCCCCACCCCCGGGGAGTAGAGTGCTCAGAGGGCAGTAAAATGGCGGCCGCAGCCCTATTGCTTGAGGGGCTGGAGCATGAAGCGCAGCCCTCCCCCCGCCCTCGGTCAGTGCGCTATTTCGCAACGCCGAGGCGGCTGGGTCGGGGGAAACCCTTCGGGGGAAGCGGAGCCGTTTTGCCGCCAGCCTGCCCGACACACCCAGCTGCCTGCGCTCCCGTCCCAAATCCACCCGCATGGAGCCCGGCCGGGCACGAAAGCAGCGCGGGGGGGGGGGGGGGCGACTTCACTATCCCTCCCTCGTGTCTGGCCAGACAGCAGCCCCGCTCCCTCCACGCGGCGCTAACGCGGCGGCGATTACCTCCATTTTGTGACCAGACTCGTTTCCTTCAGTTTCAAATTCAATATGGAGCCGAAAGGGAGAGGAGGGGTCACGTGAGAAGAGGGGAGGCGGGCTCGAGACAGCGCGTGCGCTCAGGAACAGAGAATTCGGCAGAGCTTTCGCGCGCGGTGACGGAGCCGCCTCCTTCTGTCCTCCCCTTCCCGCCAGGAAGCCGGGGAGGGCGGCTCAGGGCGATCCCGACCCCTGAGGGGGGAAGGAAGCTGCGAACAAGAACGCTGTATGAAATAGCCACAGCTGGGGGAGGGGAGGATAGACATACAAGATGCAGCGTGGGGAGGGGCGGAGAGACGAATGTTCCCTGTTCAGAAGGCGCAGCGCGCGTGGCCCGCCATGCCCCAGCCCCTGACTCGGATATCGACATAGGACCGCAACACATAAATCCAAGCCCCCTGCCTCAGGGAATATCCCTGCAAGAGCCTGGAAAGCAGCCTACGGGGCTTGAGTTGCATATGCCGTGCACTATCAAGTCACCCTTAAGTACATATGCGCAAAAATGAGGGCCTCCCCCGACCTGATGGAAGGACTCTACCCACCTCTGTCTGGGAGCTCTGTCCCACTTCGGTTCTACGTCCAGCGAGCCTCCTGCTCCCCGCCCCCTCCACGTTTCCTAGTCTCTCTTCCCTGCCCTTCCAGATTTCAAGGACCTCCCTTCTCAGCCCTCCCAATAGTGCTCACCCCAGCCTTTCTTCCTGCTATATCTGACACCTCAAAGGAGCAGCCATCTTCCCTGACAGCCAATTGCCTTCATTCCCCGTTGGAACGAAGGGGGGTGAGCCATCTTCTCTAAGGGCAGCCATACTTTCACCCTCAAAAATCCTACGCAATTCACGGGAGGGTAATGTGGGCTCACTTCCATCAAGCAAAATGGAAAATAGCAGCAGATTAGAGGAAGGGCAAAAATACACAACACTTTAGACAGTAAACAGCATTAGTTAAAGAGAACAACCCACCCATCAAACGCTGAATATTATGAGAGTTAGTAACTTAGTGAGATAAAATAGTGTTCTAGAGTTTAAAAACACACGGGATTGCCACCCTCAAGAGATCAAAAGTCACGAGACAAAGTTTGGCCTAGAAAAATCAGTTTTTTAATCAGTTTTTTTTAATTTCTTAACTCCCCCTTTATTCCTCTGCCAGTGTGTCATAATGTCAGGTTGAAAAGTCAACCAGTAATGCACACAAGATGCAATCCTCTCCCTGGATACTCAGATGGAGACCTCACTTACTCTCTACACCCCCTGCTGCCCTGGGACTTTTCCATTTGTGCCCCACCAATACCAGCTCTCTGAATCCCCCTGCTTCCCCAGGACTTCTCTGCCCAGGAGGAGTAACAGCACATCACTGCTTCCCCTCACCCCAGGTCCCTCTCCCTGCTATCTAGCCATACATGTAGGTAGGGCAGATCTGTAGTATCCTCAATCCCAAGGCACTCACGTAGAATTTTGCTAGTATGCCATTGCCCAGCCCTGAAAAAAGTCACAGGCTCAGAGGAACTTCTCACATCACAGCAGAGCTCCTGCAGGTGCCAACAAAAAATGCCCTAACTCATGATCAGTTTGCAAGAGTTGGCATGACTGCCTTCTCCCGGTTGCTCAGAGGGGCCATCTCTTCCCCACCACTACCCCAGGCTAGGAGTGCTACTGCCATTCTTCCCCCCATCATTTTACTCTGCACCCCTTCAGCCCCACATCCCCATGCAACCTATAGATCCACCTGCTGCTCTACCTTATTCTCACCATTCACCTTTCACAGTATTTCTGCTGCTCCTCATAGTCCCTATGTCCTGCTAACCCCCTAAACCATAGAATAGCAGCCATTTTGCCTGCAGGGATGGCATCAATCTCACTGAAAACAGTGGGAGATGGCAGCCAACTTTATAAAGGGCAGTCTTGCTACCATATGCAGAGAAACTGTAGGGAAACAGTGGCCATCTTGGTGGCTTCAGCTCCATTGAGAGTAGGGCCTGGTCTACACTAGGACTTTAATTCGGATTTAGCTGCCTTAATCCGAATTAACCCTTCACCCGTCCACACTACAGAGCCAGTTAATTCGAATTAAAGGGCCCTTTAAATCGATTTCTGTACTCCACCTCGACGAACGGAGTAGAGCCTAAATCGATTTTGTTAATTCGAATTAGGGTTAGTGTGGACGCACACCACCGAATTACTGTGGTTAAGTTAATGGGGTAGTGTGGCCGCACACCACCGAATTAATGTGGTTTAAAACCGAATTAAGGTGCTTAGTGTGGCCGCGCACAATCGAATTTATACAATCTGTTTCCCAAATTCGAATTATCTAAATTCGGATTAATCCTGTAGTGTAGACATACCCTAGTAGTAGTTGGTGGCCATTTTGAATAAGGAAATTGATGCATGGGCACTATTCAGCATGTTTTCATAGGGCACATTAAAATAAAAATACCACAAAAATCACTGCAGTTATGATAAAATCATAAGACATAGCAATATTGGAAAAGCCTTGCCTCCTGTCTCAAAATAGTAATTTTTCAGAAATCTATACTGCAAAAGTAATCTTAGATTAACACTAAATTGTGCACAAATGTGGTCAAGATTTTTCAGGAGTGATTTTGCATACCTTAGTTTTTGTATATTCAACTGGATATATTGTAAACAGCTTTACTTGCAGGAATTATTGAGCACCTACACTTTCAAAGTCAGGTCATGTTAAGGTGTCTCAAATTGAGCACTAAAAATAAAGGCAATAGTTTCAATCTGCAGTTACCTTTGAAAGTTTTAGCTACAGTATTGTAACAAGCAAGCTCATCACCAATTAGGCCAGGTTTCTCTTGATTTTGTTATCACACACCCTTGTGTTAGGGACTGGAAGAAGTGGATTAACAAACTGTCAAGTAACCCAATAAATAGGACTGGGAAGTACTTAATTTGTTTGTTACACATAGCATAGAAGAAGGACACAAACTGAATAGTTATAAGTATAGGTAAGCAATTCTTTCTGTCTCTTTGGAGAAGGACACCAGAATAAGCATAAAACCCCCCAAAGCTAGTCAACCTGTAAAAGTCTTCATCCTTTCTTCTTACATAGTCTTGAATATCTTTGTCCTCTTTGATTGTAGCAATAGCCATTTCAGAAGGATACACTAACTCAAATACACCTTTTAGCCAAAATAATAGGTAGAACAAGTCAGTATTTATCTCTTTGTAGGCTTCCCCCCTTCCCTCTATATATGGTCACAAGACCAGTTTATTGGGTGGAGTAAGTCAATAGGTGTGGTTTTACTGAAGGGGTGCAGGTGGTGGAAGGCTTTATAAAATTTGAGCAGAAACAGTATACAGAATGTTTTGAGTAAATAAGCAGAAATGTAGAGGAAAACTGCTACAAGTGTGTTAGCTACTATTATAGTAAGGCTTGTATTTTAACTATTATTTTGTATTTAACACATTGTGATTGTTATAGTTATACAAACAAAGTTTTGGGGGGAAAAGTCTCCATAATATCCAGCACAATATCTAATGACTCTTCTTTCTATAGATCAAGTATCTTAAATCTATAGTACTCAGAAGATTGCTGCTCTTTTAGATTCAGACCAGATGCTCTAGTTCACTCCAGTTGATGCAAATGGGTTAGAAAATTACTGGATTTCATCAACCAAGCATTCCACCAAGTTGGGGCAGAGATGGTATATCCTCTGGCCCTGGTGTATGGAGTGTACTGGAGGTGGGAAGGGAGGTGATCAGATTGCTATTGTGCTCTGGCTATTCTCAGTTGGTGGGGAGATGGCTTCTTAGGGGCCATTACCAAAAATCCCAAACTGGCCCTTAATATCTGATATTTAAACAAACTTCTCTGCATTTAACTAGCTTTGTTTTCAAATAAAATAGTTTCCCTAAATTTGGCTTTTGTTTTACTCATGCCCTGTTTCCTAGAATTAGGTACTATGGGCAACAAAGATATTTAATGATCATTGTAGCAAGTGTTGACCAAAATTTTTTTTTAAATAAAAAATATAGCAAAAAGTTTGCTATTGTTTTTTGCTAGGATTGCCTTATAGCAGTCAAAGAGTGATATGGTTCAACTTTTTAGTATTCCTTCAGCTGCAAAAGCCAAGACGTTATTGAGGTCTCAGATGTATTCTTTTTATTTATATTTAAACTTAAGCACTGGAAATAGTAGTACTCTGACTTAGGCTATATCTGTGTAATTTAACGTTGTAGTCATGCAGTAAATAAAATACAATTGATAGTGTAATATACAGTAAATACTTTATTGGAAAGGAGTAATAATACTCATAAGGAGAGAACATAAAGGCAAAATAATAAACTCTCATCCATCTATGACAATGTGAGAGAAAGGTGATGGTTTCCTAGGGACTAATGTGGTTCAAGTAATATCAATACATTTGGTTTAACAAAATATTAAACTGAGTAATCACAGTTACATAGAAATTCTGTTCATTAACACAAAACATAGTAGACAGGGTAATCTTCCTATTAGTTCCTTTAAATATTTTTTTTTCTATAATCATCTTTTTGTGTAATGATGTTTTCCAGACGTTATTGTAAAAATCTCAGTCCCAAGAAAGTAGGTTGAATTTGCATGTATCGCCTGCAGTTATCACAATAATGTTAGAAGCGTAAATGGTTTCAAATAGTGTTCAGTAGTACTGGAACTCTGTTTTCCTCTGATTTGATGTTGTTACCAATCCACAGACAGATCAAGTTTGAGTTCAATAGTCCTGATTCACAGTTACCATGCACTTCATGAAGTCCTTTGCACAAATGTAAAGTGGTAGTAAAATGCTACTAACTGAGAATGGTAGCATTTTACACTCACTTTGCATTGTTCAAGTACTATATAAAGTGCAGGGCAATGGTGAATTGTGGCTGATGATTTCACATTACACAGGTTCACATCAGTTTACCAGAACTGGATGTAGGACTAGGCATCAGCTTAGATGAAATGACAGAGATTCAGGACAATCTTCCTCTTGTAAAACTGGCATATAATGGTATAAAAAAATTATAATGGGACCATTCTGAATAACTAAGGAACTACAGAATATAATTTACTAATTTTTCCAGTG